TATGTGCATACAATGCTTGGGTCATTTCTCCCCCTACCCCCACCCCCTCCCTTACCACCCACTCCACCCTCTCCCTCTCCCCACCACCTCGATACCCGGCAGAAACTATTTTGCCCTTATCTCTAATTTTGTTGAAGAGAGAGTATAAGCAATAATAGGAAGGAACAAGTGTTTTTGTTAGTTGAGATAAGGATAGCTATGCAGGGAGTTGACTCACATTTAATTTCCTGTGCATTTGTGTTACCTTCTAGGTTAATTCTTTTTGATCTAACCTTTTCTCCCACCCTCTGTTTTTCAACAGCTTTCAATACACATCCTTATGTCCTCCACCTTCACACATATGTTTTACATTGTTGTTGATGCTCTGTCACTCTTTTCCTTTCCCTCTTTCCCTGAGTTCCACTATTACATGTTCTATATATGCTTTTGTGTATGATCACGCTTGTTTTTTGTGGATATGTTTATCTTTTGGGTCTTTTGCTAGTCCTATAGAGTGAATTAGAAAGGTCTTAATATCTTTATTATATTATAAATAAAGTAAACTATCTTGAAGTTTCAATGGACTTTGCCAAGTGTTCTTTATTGCATGGTTTTGGAGGATATGATTCTCAGGACACTTCTGAGAACTTCTGAGGATTATTTTGTTTTTGTTTTTGTTTGTTTGGGTTTTTTAAGACAGAGTCTGTCTCTATGTAGCCCAGGCTGGCCTTGAACTCCTGATCCTCTTGTCTATACCTCCCAAGTGCTGCCATTACAGGTACATGCGACCACAGCCAGCTGGGGTTTATTAATTTGCTCAAAATATTTTTGTATTCCAGAGTCATCTATAGCAATCTTTATTTTAAGCTTTCTCAAGGGATCTGTTGGAAAACTTATTTTTTTTTTACAGCATCCTTGTTGACTTAACTCCCTCTGTGGCTTTGTGAGACTTGTTCCAGGATTCCCTTCCCTACAAATACCAAAATCCTGAATGTGCCTGTCCTGCTTATAAAATAGCCTAGTAGTTGCTTCTAACTTGTACACACCCTCCCATATATATGAAATCATTTCTAGATTTCTGGTAATACCAAGCACATTTGAAATGCAGTATAAGTAGTTACACTATATTGTTTAGGGAATAATGACCAAGGAAAAGTCTGCACATGTGTGATACTTCGCAATTTTTTTTTTTTTTTTGCAGTGCTGGGGTTTGAACTTAAGGTCTACACCTCGAGCTACTCCACCAGCCCTTTTTTGTGATGGGTTTTTTTGAGACAGGTTCTCATGAACTGTTTGCCTGGGCTGGCTTCGAACGATGATCTTTCTGATCTGTTTCCTGAGTAGCTACAATTACAGGCATGAGCCACTGGCGCCCAGCTCAGATGTAATATTTTTAAAAATTATTTCCTAGCTATGGTTAGTTGAATCCTTGAATGCAAAACCCACCAATAGGGAAGAGCTGACTGTATTTTCAAATTCTTGGTCTCACTACACTTGGAATCCATTTTTCTATCTATTAAAAGGGCCAATTAGGTCCTCTCATCTCATGCTTCTGTTTGGGGAAGTCCATCTCTTCCTGTTGCTCTGTCCAGACACTCGTTCCTTTTGAAGGGCAGAGGAGGTCTGCATGCTGGTGACTCTGCTTCTCACTCTCTATACACAGACTTGCTCTTACCCTTGGACGACACCTCTACCTCTGCCCTGGTCTCAGACCAGTGCACTGGTGCCTGGCCACCTCCGCTCTGCAGCCCTGCCCCGTCTCCCATCCCAATGGATGGCAGACCCCCATTTTCAGTTGCTGTGCCATCCTAATTCCATTTTGTTTCATATCTACACCAAAAGCAAGTCCCCCTTGCTCTGTGTAGCTCACATCTCCTCTCTCGACATGGCCAACTATCAGAGCCGATGTCATCCCCTGTTTGCATAATAACTGCAGTGGTCTCTCCCTGCTTCCATCCTGGTCTCTTTGCAATCTTTGAAAACCTGAGTCCAGTCACGTGACCGCTCTGTTCAAAACCCTCGAAAGCTTCCCTTCCCACTCGAGTCAAAATCCTCACCAGTATCTACATGGCCTGCCATGCCATGTGCCATGTGCCATGCCAGTCACACCGCTGTTCTCCACTCAGCTCTGGCCACCAGGGCCTCCTCGTTGGAACCCTGCACCTTCCTGCCTGTGCCGGTTCTTCCCCAGATGTCTGCATGGCTCATATGTTTGCATATAACTTGCTCAGAGCTGCTTGGGTAGCAGCCTGTTCCCTTTACCCCTCATGTATTGTTCTCTGTGCAGGGATTCCTGCAGGGATACTTAGCATTCCTGAGAGCAGGGACCTGGTGGCTTTCCTAGAGTGTCCTCGCTGCTTCCAGCACAGGCTGTGGGTCAAGAGGTGTCTGAATGAATGAGAGGCAGAGACCCTACCTGTTTCCCTTTTTGAGATCTCTCCTCTTTTGGAGTTGTTCCTTTTTACAGAACAACTTCCTCTTCCTGGTTCTTCCAGGATCTTGCCTTGTCAGGCTTCAACTCCTGCCGCTCTGCAAAGGCTCCCTTTCTCTTTTCTTCTGTTGCCCTCCAGGGCTCCATCTGAGACTGAAAGCTCTCAGGATTTCTTTCTTTTCTTTTTTTTTTTTTTTGCAGTGCTAAGGTTTAAACTCAGAGCCTTCACCTTGAGCCACTCCACCAGCCCTTTTTTGTGATGAGCTTTTTCGAGATAGGGTACGTCTCTCAAACTATTTGCCTGGGCTGGCTTTGAACTTCGATCCTACTGATCCCTACCTCCTAAGTAGATAGGACTGTAGACGTGAGCACTGGCCCCTGGCAGATTTCTTGTTTAGTTACATCCTCATCCTACTAAAATGTCAACTCCATAGGAATGTCTGCTGTCCTCAACTATTCTCCCTTGCATTCCAAGTGCCTAGAATGGTGCCAGGCACTCAGCAGGTGGTAAAAAAAAAGTGTTGGCTGAACAAGGACAATTATGATGACTTTCCCGGGGCCCTGTACCCTGGTCAACCTTAAGAGTCTGGTGGTCCAGATGACCAGGCCACATCACAGTTTTGCCTTTGCCTGGGCAGCCTAAAGTCTGAGAATTATGTTAGAAGTCAACATCCAAGTTCAAAAGCCCTACAAGGTCTGATGAATCACACGGTGTGGAGGCTTTCTAGGAGACAGTTGAGCTTAGCCCTACTGGAAATACTAGGTTTAGATTGGTGATACTAGGTTTAGATTCCAGATTTGAAGAGCAGTGTGACTCACAGAATCTTAGAACCTTAGCGTGGAATGTGGATGGGATGAACAAGGCCTGTTCTGAGAAGGGTAAGGAGACCTCTTGCCCTGGGGTGGGCAGGGACTAGGGAGGGGTAGAGTTAAACAGGAAGTTGGTGCCAGTTCCCCCCAGGGCCACAAGGTACCTCTTCTTGAGGAGTCGAGTCTGCACTGACTTTGTAAGCAACGGGGGACTCCAAGAAGCTCCAGGGTAAGAAAATGAAATGAAGAGGTCAAGTGATTACCTTGGCAACCATGTGGCTTGCCCAAGCAAGGATGCTGGGTGGCTGGGAAACCCACTGGAAGACTTTGGGAGCAATCTGGGGATACCTGTAGATAGGAGACAGCTGTGGAAATGGAGAAAACAACAGGCCTTGGGCCCCACTGTGTTGGATAACAGTTAATGAACCCAGAGGTGTTAGGTACCAGAAAGTAAGGAGTGTGGTCACAGCATTACTGTGGTCACCCACGGGAAGAGCCCAGGGATAGGGAAGTTGGCTGAAGCAGTCTTTTGGGAGATGACATAAGTGCCCCAATGCAAGGAGAGAGAGGAAAGGCTGGCCTGCAGGAGGCCAACCCCCACCCCAAAATCCAGACAGGCATTATCCCAAAGCGCAACTTTCACAGAAGCCCCCAGCCTTGGCTTGCTAGGCTACAAATCCTGGTTTTCTCATCTCTCTAAATTGGGCAGCAGTCACAGCTGGGGCGCATCTGTGGGGTCTCACTGCGCGGGGGGTGGGGGGAGGTGGGGGGGAAGTCCCCTATTCCTTCCAAGCTAAGTCTCTTCTCCCAGGGCCCACTTTTCAAACTCCTCTTCTAATTCCCCATCAAGAGGGAGGAGTGCCCTCTCCTACCCTCCCTTCTCCTACCCAACAGCGCTCAACACCCCAGTCACTGTTTGGCTCATAGCTGACATCTCAGAACTGTACAGACGGGAGGGATATTTCAGTCCTTAGGTTTTCCAGGGAGGGAGAGAGACTCAAATGGTTCCATGAAGAACTAAAAAAAGAGAAATTCTTATTTGAGGGAGTAAGGAAAGGCGATGATGATTATAAAAAGGAAAAAGTCAAGTTTCCCCCAAAATTGAATCTGAAAGTAGGTGTGGGTTGGACGGTGGGGTAGAAAAGTTTGTAGAGGTGACAGGAATTGCGGGGTGTCCCCTGAAGCCCATGTCCTTCCCAAAATAAGATTTGAAAACTGGAGAATTGGTAAACCATGATTCCTCTGGAATTTGACTGCAGCTGATTCTAGGAGGAGGTGCCTAATCCTGGGTCTCCTGAGACTACTTCCAGGTCCAGGGCCAAGCAGGTCTGGCCCGGGGACAGTGTGGGAGCCGCGAGGGAATTGCGGTGACTTTTCTTGCTACTCTGCAGTTTTCTTCTTTCCAACCGGTGGCAGAGCGCGTTTGCAAATGTTCTGGGACCCAACTGATGGCTCTGGGAAACGAAAGTAAACCTCTCTAAAGTTTCCAGCGCGGGCTCTTTTTGTTTCCCGCTATCCGGCGGGTCTGAGTCTGGGCGCGGAGCGAGGGCGGGGCCGAGGAGCCACCTCGGCGGAAACGGCCGGGGCGGGCTGGCGCGCGGTGGGGCGCCAAGGGGACTCTGACAGACAAGGGGACTCTGTGCGACTCTGCCCCGGCCCGCCTGCGCCCTGCCGGGACTGCACACCGGCGGCGGGGGGCTGGACGCGGGCCGGAGGGCGGGGTGGGGCTGACCAGTGGGCCGTGAGCTGACCAGGATCTCCGTGCTTCCCGCAGGCGGGGAGCCCGCGCCGCCGCGCCCGGGCCGCGGGCGATGATCACCTAGGAGGCTGGCGCAAGCGGCGGAGGAGCCGGGCGCGGCGACACGCGGCCATGGAGCGGGAGTCGTCGGCAGCCGAGGAGCCCGGTCCCCCTGGGCAGCGGCGACGACGGCGGCGCCGGGAGGGCAGGACGCGCACGGTGCGCTCCAACCTGCTGCCGTTCGCGGGCGCAGAGGACCCCGGGGCGGGTGCGGTCAAGGGCGAGCGGCTGCTGATGCGCGGGTGCTCCCAGCACCTGGCCGACAACCGGCTCAAGACCACCAAGTACACGATGCTGTCCTTCCTGCCCAAGAATCTGTTCGAGCAGTTCCACCGCCTGGCCAACGTGTACTTTGTGTTCATCGCTCTGCTCAACTTCGTGCCGGCGGTGAACGCCTTCCAGCCCGGCCTGGCGCTGGCGCCGGTGCTCTTCATCCTGGCGGTCACGGCCATCAAGGACCTGTGGGAGGACTACAGCCGCCACCGTTCAGACCACGAGATCAACCACCTGGGCTGCCTGGTCTTCAGCAGGTGAGCCTGGTGGGCAGGGTGGGCGAGTGCGCGGTCCAGGCAGGGTCGGAGCGCTTCCGGGAACTTGGTATTGGGCGCGCTGTGAGCGGCACCGGACAGGGGTGGCCCTGTGAAGTCATTGAGCCTCCAAGGCGCCTCTGCGCCCTAGATGCGGAGGCGTGCGGGATCCTCTGTCCCGAATTGGCACACCAACTCCGTGCGTAAGCCAGAATGTTACCAGGGCTGGGATCTAGCGGCAGCTTGGCAGTCTCATCCTCAGCCTCTCCCACCATAAGTTAAAGTTCAGCATCTTGGCCCACTGTGCCAAGATGCTTAAAAACTAACACAGGACTATAAAGCTCAGTCTTAGATTGCACTCTCTTGGGACAGCAAAGTGAAATTGTCACCATGTTCTGATGTGCCTGGCACAAATCAGATTGAAGGGCAGGAGTAACAGAGCGGTCCATCCACTGATGTGAGCAAGTCGCATACTGGGTACCATTCCGGAACTGCCTGCTTAATTTGAAGTCGTTTCCAGATGGAAAGAGGCTTTTAGTACCAGGGGATCACCTTCCAATGGGCCCCTCCTACTTTTTTTCCTCTACTTGCTGGACCCTAAGGCTGGGCCTGTCCAGGATGCCTACTGCATCTTCTCTCTTTATACTCCCTACCCGAGAGCCACGTGGCTGTAGATACTTCCCAGAGCTGTGTTCACTATCTGGGACACTCCAGAGGAAGGTGGATGTCTTAGCCTCCATCCAGAATCTCAGTCCGGCTTTCCCTGTTTCACCTTGTTGAATTTGTGGTATTGGATGACATTTACTGTGTCCTACCTTTATCATGCCTGAGGGCACCCTAGAAAGCCTCTACCCCTTAAGTATCAGATTGTTCCCCTAAAAAATGGGGGGGGGGGTGCTGTTGCTCCTGCCTTTTAGGATAGCTTAGATCAAAAAAATTTTTGGAGGTCTTACTATATTGCCCAGACTGACTGGAGTACTTTTGACTCTGAGCAGCACTGCAGTGTTTATGTAAACAGAGGATCAGAGAGCTTAAGCAACTTGGCCAAGGTCACATAGCTTCTACATAGTGGCACTGGAATTTGACCCAAGTCTTCCTGACTGTATAGCTTTTCCAATATTCCTGTGCTGGTGCATATGGGAGGGGCTTGTGAAAATAACTATTCTCCAGAGTGTCGGTCCTAGAGGTCTGGGAGCAGGCCAGGAATCTGAGTGTTTGATTAGCAAGAAGATGGTTTTTATGTGATGGTCCATGTTTGAGTCACAGCACCCTGGTAGCCATTGGCCCATCATCAAGCTGTGTCCATCAGAAGCCTTAGCAACAAGGGGAGGGGGCACTACAACAAAAGTGCCCTCCAAGCCCCTTGAACTTGGACTACAAGCAATCTTATGTCTGTCTTCTGCATAACTTGGGTGAGGCACTAGCAGTCTTTGAACATACACCACTTCCCGTTATCACTAAGTCTATAACTCCCCAAAGCCTCCTTTTTAGAAATACTTAGGTCTTGGAATATAGTTTATTTTCTGTTGACAAAATGCAGGCCATTAGGGCACTGGACTCATACAACAATGGTCACCCCATCTTGTGGATGAGAAAACTGAGGCTGGGATCTGACTTTGTGAGGGTTCTCGGGTTGGTGAAACCGCACCCACCTGGGTTCCCAACTGGCTCCTGAGCTCTGTACAGGTATCAGGCAGCCTGGGGCTAACTGTGCTTTCAGAACCTGTTGAAATGTTCTGGGCAGGGGACAGGGAAGGGAGGAGGACAGTGGAAGGGGTAAATCTAACTAAGAGATCTTGTAAGCACCTATGTAAACATCATAATGCATCTTCCTCCTACAACTATTATATGGTAATTAAAAAAAAGTTTCCAATACTCCCTGCCCCCAAGTCAAATTCCTTGAATACTTTCCTGGGAGAGAATGGGCTTTCTACAAAGGGAAGCCCCTGGTACTCCCTTGGTGGGTGTGAAAAGATGGTACTTTTGTGTGGAGGAAAGGTGGGGCCTTGCCCCAGGCATCTCAGCGTCTTGTCTGATCCTGTCTTCTTCCCCACTGCAGAAGCTGTCAGAATTTTTCTTTGCCAGCTCTCTGTCCCACTTCTATTCACTGTTCCTCTGGCTAGCACATTAAATTCTTCCATCCCTAGAAAGTCTGGGACTGGTGTCAAGCCCTGTTGATGGAAGGAGGTGGAGGCTGGGTTTCACCTAGGACTTGCTGTAGGGTTAGGGCCTGGGCAGGGCTCCTAGCCCAGGGATGCTGGTGATTGTCAAGAGCCCAGGCCACTTTGTGAGGACTAGGGAGGGTGGGGCATTGAGATACCAGGAACAGGTTACAAGGAGCCCAGATTGCAGGGAGCTGGCATGAGGACAGCCCAGGAAAAGACTTGTATGTGTGACCACAAACTGTTCAGTGCATTTCATTAACACTGCAAATCACTAGTATGGTTATAAAATGTGGAGGGGCCTCTTCCAAGGTCCTTGCTTTAGTTACTGTGCAGTGGAGTGGAGTCAAAGCACACTCCTTTTTTAAGACTGGATCTCACTATGTTGCCCAGCCTGGCTCTGTCTCCTGGATTCAAGTGATCCTTCTACCTCAGTCTCCTGAGTAGTTGGGGCTACAGGCACACACCACGGCACTCCATTCAAAGCATACATTAATGCAACAAATTAGGGAAGGCTTACCCAGAATCCTGTCCCCTGAGGATGACTTCTGACCCAGGGCGAGCTGGGCATCAGTCATGGTTACTATTGTTTGCATGGTGCTTCTCACAAACATGACACTGGGGCCTACCTCTGAGGATCTAGGCTGTGGGAATTTGAGAAGTAGTTTGCATTCTGAGTCTATATTGTCCTCTTGTGGATTTTGGATTCTATTTAGGAAAACCCCCTTGAGTGGCCAACAGAGAGCAGGGAGTGATCCTGGGGGTGATACATCGCTTTTGACTCCTGCCCTGGGGTAAGGGCTCTCCAGCCCATTGTCAATACTGTCTTCCAACAGTGAGATCTAGACTGAACCAGCACTGTTAACAATGGGGTTAGAAGGGAGTGGGAATCAGTCCCTGTCACATAGACCTCCTTAATGTTGGCAGAGCCTGCAGTGAAGACATCTCCTTCTGAGTCCCTGGTGGAGCTCAGGACCAGAGTGTGCCCTGGTGGGAGTCCAGGCTGAGGTGGCCTTAGCATTCTGTACAGGAGCTTGGATTTCTGTTTACCTGACATCAGTCTCCAACAGGAACAAGGTGGAAGCCACAAGGCCAGGCAGGGCCTGAGAGGTCAGCAGTGTCCTCAGAGTCCCTGGTGGGCAGGGTTGGAGGAGGAGAGGACAGAGTCAGAATCAACCAGCACTGATAGTTCTGGCTATGGGAAGACAGAGCGTCTAGAGTCATCCCTAGGTATCTGATGGGGATTGGTCTTGGACCCCTGTGGATACCAAAATCTAAGGATGCATAAACAACATGGTATTTGCACAGAGCCCATCCACACGCTCCTAATACTTGAAATCATCCGTGGATGACTTATAAGACCTAATACAGTAGAACTGCTATGTAAATAGTTGTTCTATTTTATTGTTCAGGGAATAATGACAAAAAAAGATCTGTACGTGTACAGATGCATTTTTCCGGGTTTTTGTTTTTTTTTTTGGTACTGGGGTTTGAACTCAGGGCCCACACCTTGAGCCACTCCACCAGCTTTTTTTTTGTGAAGGGTTTTTTTTTTTCCCCCGAAATAAGGTCTCTTGAACTATTTGCCCAGGTTGGCTTCGAACTGCAATCCTCCTGATCTCTGCCTCCTGAGTAGCTAGGAGTAGGGCCCGGCTTTGCTGGATATTTTTGATGTGAGGTTGGTTGAATCCTTGGATGTGGATCCTGGGGATACAGAGCCACCTGGGTACCACAGAGAGATGTCGTGAGGGAGGAGAAAGCACTTTCACTCTCTGGAGCAGGAGGCAGAGAGAAACACTGGACCAGCCTGGGGCCTAGCTGCCTGCTGGACTGAGAGTGCACTGCCCAGGGGTGCAGCTGGCAGGGCGGAGGGGAGCTGGTGCTGGGGTCCCATCTTTGCCCCATCCCTGACTGTTATTGTGTCATTTTTTTTCTCCTTTTGCTTCCATACCCCTTATGATAACCCCCATACAGTCATCCTTTATTTGGTGCTGAGGGTGGAAGCCAGCCCTCATGTGTGCTGCCACTGAGCTACACCCTCAGGCGCAAATATAATCTTCCTGGCACCATTTGGCCTCTGTCTCAAGTGGTGTTTCTGGATGAAATTACCTGAGGTGGCCTTTCCTTGAGTCTCCTTGGGTCTGAGTGCCGCCCCAGGGTGTCTTCTTGTCACCTTTTGGGAAAACAGGTAGTCCAGGGGGTGCACTGTGCTTATTTTGGAATCACCCCATTTTCCTGTTCTTTCATTTCCTTGATTCTCACTTCATTTCCCCAGATCTCTGGGATTGTCTATGCACGCAGCCCACACTGCACTTGATGGATTTGTTGTTTCAGAAGAGCCCTGGATTCCTACTTAACAAAAGCCTCCTTTGGTTTCCTTCTCTTCTCTGGGATTTGGTTTATCTTGCCTCCCCTCTGCCTTTCCCATTGTGTCTTTCCCCCTTCCTTTCCTGGCTCGCCTGCCTGTGCTTTCCTCTCCTGAGCTTTTAGCCCCTGGGGTCATAGTCCCTCCTCCCCTCCCTCCTATATGACAACTAGATGCTAGCAGCCAAAATTATCCAGAAGCATAGCACCTTGTGTCATTGGAGTAAAAGATTGCGAAAGCAGATACAAGGTTGAGACTCAGGAGGTCTGAATAAGCGTGCTAGGGTTGACGAATACTATTTCAACATTGTCATGCCCTGTTTTTGGAAATAATTATTCTTTTGGCATTTGTTTTGTGTCCTGTATTACTAGGTTCATAAGGTCAATTTGTTGTGGAAAAAGAACCTTTCTTTCCCTAAAATCGGTTGCTGTCAGAATGCAGTATCATTTCATGAGATTTTTGTATTTGTTAATATG